TTGCTTAAAATCTTCAGGATTTGCTGTAGATGAGCACAGGATTGTATGAATTAGGTATGCATCAGGATGGTGCTTGGGGGTCTGGTGTGGCTAGCTCTCTTGCTGAAAAAAAGGGGTTTAAAAAATGTAATAGCAATGGCTAAACTTCCTGACACTAAGGACCACGTACTACAGTCTTCCAGCTGAGATCTGCCAGGTACTGACTGTACCCCTCAGAGGGATGGGAGGAGGAGATCTCCAGGGGCAGTCCACAGATGGGAGGTGACAGTGTCTCCCAGCATCTTATTGCTCTGCTGTAGGATGGGTCTCAGCCAGGCATGCAGAAAGGTTTCACGATCCTCCTGACTTGCGTCCTCCCACAGGCAGAATAAAATGGCCCAAAATCTTTCATGCCTCCGAATTATGGAGCTGTGTTTTTCTTGATCTTAAGCCGTATTTTGGCCAGTCTTGGCCATGGTGGAGAATAAGAAGAAATGGTGAGTGTTCACCTTGGAAGGGTGAAGCAGCAGAAGGTACCGGGACAGGATTAGACACCAGAACTAGCCTGTTTCTGCCTGCTGCCAGACTAACCCAGGATTAGTGTCTTTTTCTTTTCTGCTCTGCACATAACAGTACCTGGAATAGAGAGAAAAGAATAATGAGAGAATATCTCCATAAAAAAATGGAAAGGGAGAAGGGAAGATTCCTGAGGGGAGGATTCCCAGGCCACTGTTTGTTTTGTGTTGTGCTAGTTACTTTGCTGAGGATCCCAGTGGGCCCTTGCACAGGGTGAAATACTGTTCAGCAGACCACCCTCAGAACCTCTGCCTGAGCATTGGCACAGCGGGTCTTGCGGTGGAGGTCCTGTTTGCACTGAGATAGCACCCAGTGGGAGCACTCTTTGCTCAAAATATCTGAGGTCTAACCTGGTACTTGTAGCCAGCTATTATCAGAGGAAAAATTAACATAAGGAAACAAGGACAACTTTCAGCAGAAAACCCTAGAAAAGAGCTTTGCTGGAAAGATGCTTAGCTTGCAGGATCCTCGCACAACGCTGCTCCCATTCTGAAAAATTCCAGAGTTCTCCCTGGACGTTTGTGCTTCCTGGCTACAGCCATTCTCCGAAACAGCAACAGCCCAAGGAGCCTCTGCCACAGCAAGCAAACGTTCGGGGGGACAGCCAGGGAGGAAATGTGTGGGAGATTTATTAGCATAGTTGGAGACCACGGTGGAGCGAGGCTTGCAGTGCATTTGGTGCATCTCCATCACCCAGTTCAGCAGAGCTTCATCTGCCACCCCATTTGGTTCCCAACCTGTGTAGCTGGAGGGTACCAAGCAGACGCTTGAGATTTGGGAACCTCTATATAAGGTACTGTCTTTTAGGAACATAAGTTCAAAAACCTTTGTGGCTGCCTCTGGGAATGGGAAACTTAATTGTGCTTTAACATCTGTATGAGAGAAAAAAGAGATAGATGAACCACTTAAAGCTGCTAATTCCTATTCTGTGATGCCCTGAGCTCTCCACTTTGTACCACGGGATCACTTACAGTACTTGCCAATGGATTTATTTCCTATGAGGCACAGGAAGAGCAGTGTGAGACATATCAGAGGCATCTCTTGAGAGGAGAGGAGAGGAGAGGAGAGGAGAGAGCCTGCAGCCAGCAGCCAGCTGAAGCAGCAAGAGCGGAGAAAGCAGCTTTTTTGCCTTTTTTTCCTCAAGCAAGGGAGGATGACGCCTTAAGCAGCAGGTTAGCCTTCTCATCAAAGAGCAATGTAAGGCTTTTACACTACTCAAATTGAAAAGAAAACTGATTTTCCATCATGCTTTTATTGGAAGAATTCAAGACAGAAAAGACACATTGCCCACTGCCCACTTGGCAGTCAGGATGAGGCAGGAGTCAGGCCAAAAAAAAGCCAAGCCTGGAAAAGCTTTCAAGATTTTAAAACATTTCCCATTCCAGACCAGAATTTTATGAAACAAAAAATAAGAAGGAGAAGGAGAAGGAGAAGGGAGAAGGAGAAGAAGGAGAAGAAGGAGAAGAAGGAGAAGAGGGAGAAGGAAGAGGAGGAGAAGGAGAAGGAGAAGAAGGAGAAGAAGAAGAAGAAGGAGGAGGAGGAGAAGGAGAAGGAGAAGGAGAAGGAGAAGAGAAGGAAGGCCATTCCTTCCACCTCCATTTGGTTCCCACTGCCAGCTCCTCCCATCCTGAGCTGTCTCTGAGCCCTGTGCTGTGCATCTCCTCTGCCCTAAGAAACTCTCCTGTTACCCTCAATCATGCAGAGCCATGCTGCAGTCCCTGCTGCACCCTGTGGCTTTGTGGACACTATCATTAAAAGAGGGTTAAGGACAGTTCTCTGTCCTGGAGACACCTGGAGCTTCTTGGCCACATCCACCTCTACCCTTTCTTCCTTTCCTAACCAGGATGGCTTTACTCCACAGCCCAGTGGACATTATTCCCCAGCTGGTGCTACCCCCTCGTTCATGCCTGGGCACTGGCTGGGACAGGGCTAGTTGGCAGCAGCCAGGGATGTCCCTTGAGGTGAAGAACAGGTTAACGGTGTGGATGATGGTGGGATGAGGCTCCAGCCATGTCCTGCTCACTTTAGGACAGGCATAGCTTGTATGACTCCAAATACAGCAAGGGCCAGCCCAGAGCGACTGACTTAGCCAGGACCTGGGCATATTTATAAAATAGCAGCAGAACTACAAGCAGGTAGAGCTTTTCTGTTTACAAGTGATGACAAACAGCTAGGAAAAAAAAACAAAACACATTTGATCAAACTATCAATTAAGATGAATTTTAATTTTGGTTCAAAAATGCTTTGAATTTGAGTGATGCCTTGTGTTTTTAATTTTTCTTTTCTCTTTTCCCTCTGAAGTAATATTTTGGCTTGATGTACAGTTTCTTTTCCGGTGAGATGATATGGAAAAATGGCTACATATTCAAAATGGCTCAGAGGGCTTTTGAGGGGGTATATATTCCCGTCTCACTGCCACATCGCAGGACAGAGCAGTGGAGAGATGGATTCAGATGCTGAAGACTGTCCCATTGCCTTTTCCATCCGCAGAAGTTGGTCTCAGACCAATTTTGGCTCCATGGTACAATTCTGGTCAATGTTTATGAGCATTTACTGAGATCAGCTGCGGTGGCTGCTGCTAGTGGTCCTCTGCCTTGGATGGTTTTACTGTCTGAATGTGCTTACCTCCTGTTAAATGCAGTTACTGGGGCTTGCCGGTGGGAGGATCACCCTAGGAAAATAAATCTGCATTTACTGGTGTTTTTAAAGACATGGATCCAGTTTTCATCTCTACAAAAAGCAAAGTCCTTACAGGACCTGGTCTTCATCCCACTAGCAATCCAAAATCATTAGTCACTTCTGAAAATGTTGATGCATTTATCAATGCCAAAGAACTAAAGATGAACTGAAATATCCAGGGATTATTTACTTTGTGTGTCTGTCTCTCACAGTCACATTCTCTCAAAAGAAATTAATAGGATGGCAGATATTTTACAATGAGACTCATACTGTAATTACACTTCAGTGGCTGGCAGGTAAGTTGGCTCAGATACTTGGCAATTACTGAAGTGCTTTGTTCATTCAGCTTGCATCTTAATGTAAGTGGTTTACTGGAAATTTTATCACAAAAATAGCTTTTAGGCAACTTGACAGTAACAAGTCCACCTACACTGTTTGTAAATTGTGTATAAAAAGCTAACGTATGATAATCTTATTTGTTATAGATTCAAGATGGAAAAACCCCACATCAGGGAAATAAATCATGATTGCTATTTTAGGATAAGGGCTTCACCACAGACGTGCAGTAAATACCCCCACATTTTTCACAACCGAATGTTGGTTTTAAAACAGCTGTATTAATAGGCTGCAGAGCTTGCCATAAAAACATTTTGCATCCTTGTTTTACATGGGTAGGGCATGAAAGAAATATCAGAAAGCTCAGTAATGTTGCAGATAGCAGTTACGTGCTTGGCCTCATGCTGTCCATACAGGGCAGGGGAGATGGTGGGTTTATTCCAGTGAAGGTACAGCCAGCTACTGACTTGCTGCCTGACCCATTGGGGCGGATGGATGAAGTTCCATGCCACCCAGGGGTCAAGCTAATCCCCCTCTCCTCTTCGGTCAGAGCTCGGGGTGTGAGTCAGGCAGGGCCTGCACCCTTGTCCCGAGCCCTCCCATGCCAGGCTGGTCTGTGCAGCGCTGGGGCTCTGACACTGCCGTTGCATCAGCCTTTGATGGTCCATCCCAACACTTTTAAAATCCCAATATTTTTAAAAATCTGATCCCTGAGAATAGAAAGGCACCTAAAGCAAAGGCTTTTGCATATCTTCCTGGTCATTCTCCTTGGATCACAGCACTCCTGGAAAGTTTACAGATACAGAATAAGGTGAATAATCAGAATTTTTTTTCTTTACAGTTATTCTGATATTTCCATATGTGTTTTCAGGCAGAAAGGATGAAAATCCAATTTGTGTGTGCAAACAAATAAATATGCATGTCTCACTGTGCATGCCTGCAGTACTTGGGAGTGGTGGACCGTGGGAGGCAGCACCGCCAGTTTCACAGAGTACATTTCTGACAGAACAGCACAGCACATATGGAAAAACTCCAGCAGAACTGAAGTTTAACAGGAAGCACTAAAAATCTGTTTGTTTTTTTTTTTTTTTAATTTTGCCCTTTAAAAATAAAAGAAAACAAGCTCAGCTGTTGGGTTTATAATTTAAAATGTTGATTTTACAATGTTCTGCATTTAAGAGAATTCAAGCAATTCCTGTTCAAATTCAAATGCCACCATTTTGTGGCTGCATGTGTTATTGTATACAGCCATAATGGGCTAAAGAAATAAGAGAGGAGCTCTCTGTATCAGTACGGCAACTACAAGATTCCTTGCATTTCAGAGGCACAGCCCCATGGGATTCACAGTCATGGAAAAGGATTTATAAAGCTTTTTTTTGCAGCAGGGGATGTGCCATGGCATAGCATGACTGCTCTTCACCCCACGTGCCATGCCCTTCCCCAACAGGTCTGACCTCAGCCCATCCTCCTTCATCTTGGCCAGCATCCCGGGGCTGGAGGCTGACCATTTCTGGATGGCGATCCTTCTGTGCTCCATGTACATCTTGGCAGTCACAGGCAACTGCGCGGTGCTGTTCATTGTGAAGACAGAGCCCAGCCTGCACGCTCCCATGTACTTCTTTCTCTGCATGCTGGCTGCCATCGACCTGGCCTTGTCCACGTCCACAGTGCCACGTGTTCTCTCCTTCTACTGGTTCAACACCAGAGAGATCAGCTTCGGCGCTTGCCTTGTCCAGATGTTCCTCATCCACACCCTCTCGGCCATCGAGTCCACTGTCCTCCTGGCCATGGCCGTGGACCGGTACGTGGCCATCTGCCACCCGCTGAGACACGCTGCCATCCTCACCAACGCTGTGACAGTGAAAATAGGGCTGGTAGCCATGGCCAGGGGAGTTCTTTTCTTCCTGCCTTTGCCTTTGCTCCTCCTGCCCCTTCCATTCTGCAGCTCCCGGGTGCTGTCACACTCCTTCTGCCTCCACCAGGATGTGATGAACCTGGCCTGCGCCAACACCACCCCTAGTGTGGTGTATGGCCTCACCGCCATCCTGCTGGTCATGGGGCTGGATGCCATCCTCATCTGCCTCTCCTACATCCTGATCCTCAAGGCTGTCTTGCGGCTAGCATCGTGGAAGGAGAGGCTTAAGGTGTTCAGCACCTGCATTGCCCATATCTGTGTGGTCCTAGCCTTCTACGTGCCCTTGATTGGGCTGTCCGTGGTGCACAGGTTTGGGAAGGATCTGGCTCCATTGGTCCATATCATCATGGGGAACATCTACATCCTGGTGCCTGCTGTGCTCAACCCCATCATCTATGGGGTGAGGACCAAACAGATACAGAGGAGGATCCTGAATTTAATTCATATATACAATGACAGAACTGCCCAGTGATCTCTGCTTGGCTGCTGCCTCCTGTATCCTCACACCAGCTCATCTTATTTTACACTTAGAGTCTTTGGTGCAGGACTGTCCTCTGTTTGCATGGCACCTAGCACATGGTAGGAGACCCTGAGGTGCTACCACAAGGCAAAAAGTAAATAGCAATTGTAAACTCCTTCCAAGAGCGTTGACCCTCACCAAACTTGGAGAGAATCTACTACAATGATCTAAATCCAACCCTGATCCAGCATGTAGCACAATGGGAACGAAAAGTGGCTCAGCAAACTAATAAAGATGTCTTGACATTGCACTTCTTCGTTCCCACCTCACTCATAACAATGGCAGAGCTGAGTGAATGCTACAGTGTTTTCTGAATAATTTAGTTAATTAATAGTTTCCGCTTGTGGCACATTCACTTTCCAAAAACAATTTAGCAAAATTTTTGCCAGAAACTTTGGCTGTAGCAACAATCTCTAAGTAAAATAATTACAGCAACTGACATTATAGATGCAGAAATGCACTTCAGAAGAAGTCCTCCATCTCTGTGGTCTTGTTCTGACCTATTGGGTGTTCAGTCAAGACAGCTCAGCCTCCTTGTAGTAGAGGCTACTGGAAATGGAAAAATTTCAGACCCAGAGTTATTGGTAGCAATTATGAAAATAATTTCAATTACTAATTAAGTCAATAAAATGACAATGTCTCAAGAGAAAAAATAAGCAAGTTATAAATGTTAGTGATCCTTCCAAGCTGAAGGAAGTTGTATTTCCAAGTCAAAGGTGTTTCATACCTTTGACTTCACACATTCCTAAGAAGTTATGAAATAAGTTCAAGACCTTCAGCTTTCAAACTTTTTAATACTTCCTAGGTATTCCCCATGAAACAGAGTGCTTGACAGCCTTTTCTCTCTTTATTCTCATGACTCTTCTACCAGTGGGACACTACTACAAAACTCTTTTAATACAATGAAAGCCAACAAGCCTGAGGACCAGTGAAGAAGGCCTGAAAGCAAATTGCATTTGTTTTCTCACCATCACAGAATCACAGAATGGTTGAGGTTGGAGGCATCTCTGAAGGTCATCTTGTCCAACCCCCCAGCTCAAGCAGGGCCAGCTAGAGCTGGTTGCCCAGGACTGTGTCCAGGCAGCTTTTGAATGTCTCTAAGGATGGAGACACCATTTCATATTTTGGAAAAAGGTTAAAGATCCTGGGAATGAATGTTGCGCAATAGGATTTTACAAAGAAATGTACAGATTTGAAGAGTGTTCACTTCTAGTTTTTTCCTAATGTTATTTGTCTTTTTAAAAATAAATCTGTTTCTTTATAAATAGAAAGAAACAAGCAATCTCTTCTTTTTCCTTTTGGTTTAAACTCTTACCTTGTTGTTGGTTATCATGAATTGTGATCTTCATTCCTGAGGTGGCTGCATTGCCATGCACAGGGACATGTTTGCTGTTCCCCCTGCAACAGCCCCTGGGATTCCTCCGTGAGAGGTGCCAGGAGTGTGTGATCTCTAATTTGAACACGCTGGCTTTCGCTACACAAGGAGTAGTGCACAAAGCCTTGCACAGCAGGATCCTTCACAGATGACTACAGCAGCACCAGGTATATTAAGAAGGCTGATCTACACTCCACCAGGAGGCCCAGGAGCTCTTGAACACTGATGTCTCCATCAGTAGATGATTGTCACAGAACCACAGGGTAATTCAGGTTGGAAGGGTCCTCAGGACATCTCTAATCCAACCTCCTGCTCAAAGCAGGGGTAGCTCTAGGGTCAGACAAGGTTGCTCAGGGCTTTATCCAGTTCAGTGTTGAAAGCTTCCAAGGATGGATGTTGCACAGCCTCTTTGGGTCTCTATTACAGTGCTTGATTGTCCTTACTGTGAAAAAGCTTCTCTTTATACCCATTTTGAACTCCTCTTGTTTCAACCTACGCTTGTTTTCTCTCATTCTCCTGCCATGCCAGATTGTGAGGAGCTTGGGTCCATCTTCTTGGTAAGGGTAGAGGAAGGCTGCTCTTCTGCTCTTGGGTCTTCTTGAAACCTTGTATTTTCCAGGCTGAACAAGCCCATTTTCCTAAGCCTCTCCTCATGGAGCATTGCTCCAACCCCAGCCACCCTGGGAGCCATCAGCTGAACGTGCTCCACTTTGTTGATGCCTTTTTTGCACTGCGGCCCAAAACCAGACGCAGTATCTAGATGTGGTTTAGCACGTGCTGAGTAGACTGTGGGCTAATCCTTTGGGGGCATGGCAGATCACTCTCCAGAAAGGTCATCCCAGAGCCCAAAAAACGAATATCAGGAGGAACTGCTAGAGAAGGAGGAAAGAGAAAAATAAAAATTACAAAACATGTAAATCTGCACTGATTCACACCATGCAAGTGGAAGTATGCTTGACGGTCTAAGATTTGTAGGGAGAAGTTTCATTTAGTGTTAGGCCAGTTTGCTCAGGGTTTTATCCAGTTGGGTCCTAAAAACCTTCAAGGATGGAAGTAGCACAACCCCTCTGGGCAACTTTCCTTTGCTTGGCACATGCTCCTGTTGCCCCCATACATGCTGGCATAATATAAGCAAGTTTAGCTGTGAAAAAGAAATAAATTATTTGAGAAAAACAGGGAAATATGTGGAAAACAGGCAATGAACAACGAGTTCCATCAAGGAGGACAGAAGACAGGTCTAAGTGCTGCACTCAGGGGCTCTTGCATCTTGTCCATAACTTCTAGGTGTGCTAAGAGAGGTATCTTACCAAAGACACGTGCTGTTTTGCATCAGGGCCTTCAAATGACAACAATATTTGGTGGAGTTTGGTGCAGTTTCTTCCACTTGCCAGCTAACACTGAGAGTAAAATGGATGTCCTTTTTGTAGTCTGTGCTTGTATAGCTTCAGTCTCCATGAAACACATCTTGTTATAACCTTTTCTGCTAAATTAAAGGACATTTTATTTCAAAATAAATACTTTCATTTAAGTGAGTTACAAGTAGTTGCCATCTAGGACTTAAAGGCAATTTTGCCCCGTCATTTTTGTCATATTCTGTTTTATTAAAGCTTAGAAGGGTAAAAAATTTTCATAAAAATGAAAACAATCTGTACCTGCCTAATGTGATTCGGGAAGTTTGAATGAATTTTTCAGAGGCGTGCTATAGATCTAAACTCTTTTCAGATGGCCGTGGCATTGAGAAATAGCTCCTGCTCATTCTCCATATGTTCCTTATTTTTTTTCCTTTTGTGCTGAGAGAAAAATTAATAAAGAAAAATGAATGAACCATCCTGAAAATGCTGTATTATATTTCCTAGCCGTCTATTTCTCAGAAAGACAGTTAATAGAGCCTCAGAGCAGGGAGGCATGATGAATTTCTCCTGGGTACGGATGAAAACTGCGTGAGATTCTCACTCTCCATCTTGTTTTCCAAACTTCAGTCACAGAGTGTTGCTTTACTGGGGAAGAGAGGGAACATTGCCTTCTTCCTCAACACGTGTCTTTGCCGACAACTATGACAACCGCTTTCCAGATGAAATGTCCATTGCTGAGGCCCCAGGTCACCTCTGCCCTGCAGCAGAAGGAAAACCCCAACCAGAGCATGGGGCATCTGAACCCACATCTCCTCCATGAGCAGGGCCAAAAGTCAGAGGTGGGGATGGAGTGACCAACTTTGCTGGGGCCCAGCTGGCTCCGGGAAGGCGAGGAAAGAGCCAGGTTCACTTGTAAAAGCGACTGAAAAGGAAAGGGCAGGGACAAGGAGAGGGAGGGAGCGAGGCAGGGAGGGGAGGACAGGATGGGAGTGTGGTTTGCACAAGTAGTGGGGAGAGGATTAGGAGTCACAGGAGCCTGGAGGTGGCAATAGAGGCAACGAGGAGTCACATGGGGCTGGAGCAGTTGTTGGAGATCTCCTGGAGGATCTCCAAGTCTTCTCTCTTCTCTTCTCTCTTCTCTTCTCTTCTCTTCTCTTCTCTTCTCTTCTCTTCTCTTCTCTTCTCTTCTCTTCTCTTCTCTTCTCTTCTCCTCTCCTCTCCTCTCCTCTCTTCTCCTCTCTTCTTTTTTTTTCTTCTCTCCTTTCCATTTGCAGAGTTTATTAAATGCATGTTGTTTGTTGATTTTTTCAAATTTTTTCAAATAAATTAGTAAAAGCCTTTTTTGCCTAGTTTACAACATGTAGTTTGCTGCGCTTCTCTTCTCTTCTCTTCTCTTCTCTTCTCTTCTCTTCTCTTCTCTTCTCTTCTCTTCTCTTCTCTTCTCTTCTCTTCTCTTCTCTTCTCTTCTCTTCTCTTCTCCTCTCCTCTCCTCTCCTCTCCACCTCTCTCTCCAGGTACTCCTGCAATTGGACCTGGGGACCCAGCGTCTTTGCACACTCTGGCATTTCTGCTGTCCCAGACTCTCTCAGTAGGCTGCCTTGGGGGTTGATACAGTTCCCCAATAATGGAATGGGGTTTTATTTGCACGACTTGCTTTTTAATTGAAATTGCATTCCCAAAGATTTGTCATAGAGATGCTATATTGCGTGAACGCCACAAAAACAGCACAGGGAGGTGCAGTGTGTCACACAGCAGTGAGAGTTACTTAAACATGTGGAGGGCTCTCAAATCTGCCTCTCATTATTTCACCATTCTCCATCTATGTAATGGAGATGATGTTACTGACTTCCCTCTCTAAGCCTGTATTAGAGCTATGGATGAAACGTAGCAGAGAAAGGATAGATTGCTGTTGTTTGGAAAGTACTTCATAATTCAGGCTGCTGCAGTTTTAATTACAAACTCAGTCCTGTGATTTAATCTTGTACTGCCCCATCGCTCTTAAATCTTCTCCAAATAAACACACTACAAGAAAACAGATACAAAACTGGACAAAACGCAGCTGTGTCTATGAGGTCATCAGCATTGAAGGGGTTAAAAACTGCCTATTTCTCTCTCTCAAACTACACATTAAGTAGCAGGGGAAATGCGGAGCTCTCTACTGGGATTTATCTGTCAGACAGGTAAATATCTCCTGGTCTCTGCAATGCAGAGTCCCTGCATAGAAACCTGCAGGAGGCAGGTGAGTATTTAGGGTTCGGGCAGCAATTTGTTGCTCTGCAGTAAGGCCTTTTATGCCATCACTCCTGGGCAGCAGCAGCAAGCGTTGAACAGCCCCCAGTTAGTGGAGCTTGTAGGCACGCTCTTGCCTCTCACATTGCCTTTGCCCGGGAATTGCATTCTTTGTCCTGGTGTTCCCCATGGAATAATGAAGTTTTAGGTAAAGCAGCACCAACAGAGGCAGCTGGCAGGAAGGAGGTGGAATGAAGAAAGAAAAATATCAGGATTTTCAATTCCTAGGATGTTTACAGCCACATGGAAAATAAAACAGGAAATCTCTCCCAGAGTGCAGGGGACCCCAAGCCATACAGATCTGTAAGGTTTCAAGCACAGCCCCGACAGCCCAGCTCCAGCTGTTGACTGGTGGCCATGCTGGGCTGGGCTGCAGTGGTCGCAGTGTGAAATCTCGCTCCGGATGCAGCGGGAGCGGAGCCTGCTGCTGGAGCTGGCTTGGCTAGCGCCAGACCCTCTGGGAAGAAGAGCCTCTATTTCTCTCTTGGGAAGCTGCTATTGTCTCCTCTGTCCCTCTGCTCCCTGCAGCTCTCCAGCGTAAGCGCGGTTGGCCCCAGGAAGGTTTCTGAAGGTTATCAGGTCAGGAACATCAGCCTAATCTGTGCTGCAGGGTTCTTCAAGGAATCCTTTTTCCCAGGTGTTAGGGAAAAAAATATGAGCTGAGCAATGTGCAGGGGCCGAGCGAACTGCGGTCTTTTTGCGGGGAAGAATGGACTTCACTGGAGCACTGCGTGTGTGTGTGTGTGTGTGTGTGTCAAATACTGTGGCACTGGCTCGTTTTTTTGCCCTGAAATTGGATGTTTCTTGGCTGACGCAAGCACTTGTTGCCTCTGTTTACACTGGCAAGCAGCACAGTGCTGTTAAAAGCTTCTGCAGAGCTATAGGGCTGGCGCTAATGACTTCATATCCCCACTACGCACATTTCAAGGTTTACTTCAGACCAGCTTTCATCTGGTCTCCTGGGCTGCACACACTTTGGACACCAGAGAGTATCAGGTGCGTACCTCATGCCAGTCTCTGTTTGCCACTGACCAGATCAGGTCGAGGGTGTTTGATGCTTTTTTACAGGACGCAAGAGCCCTCAATGTAGGCAAGAGACAAGTAAGGTTTCATGTCTCTGAACTCCACTGCCTTCTCCCACCCCCCCCTATTTCCTACTCGTTGGCATCCCTGGGCTGGAGAAGGAGTAGTTCTGGACTGCCTTCCCCTTCTGTGTCATGTATGCCATTGCTGTGCTGGGGCACATCACCCTTCTCCTCATTATAAAGGCAGAGCCAAGCCTGCATGAGCCCATGTACCTCTTCCTGGCCATGTTGGCCTTCACTGACCTGGTCCTATCAACATCCATACTACCCAAAATGCTTGGCATCTTCTGGCTGGGCTTCGGGGAGACTGGGTTTTTCTCCTGCCTTGCTCAGTTGTTCTTCATCCATACCTTCTCATCGGTGGAATTGGGCGTGCTCATGGCCGTGGCCTTGGATCGCTACATTGCTATTTGCCACCCTCTGTGGCACTCCAGCATCCTCTCCAGCCAGTGGTGGTGGCCCTTGGGAGTCTGGTGCTGGTGTGTGGGGTCCTCCTGGTAAGTCCCTTCTGCTTCCTCCTCTGCAGGATGCCCTTCTGCCAGCATCATGTTATCTCCCACTCCTACGGCGAGCACATGGCCGTGGTGAAGCTGGCATGTGGAGACACCAGAGCCAATGTCATTTATGGCCTCTTCGTGGCTTTCGTAGTGACAGGATCTGACATGATCCTGATCTCTGTGTCCTACACCATGATCCTGCGGGTGGTAATGAGGCTGTCATCCACAGAGGCACAACTTAAAGCCTGCAGCACTTGTGCATCCCATGTCTGTGTCATCCTTGCCTTTTACGTCCCTGCCCTCTTCACGTTCCTCACCCACCAGTTTGGGCAGGGCATCCCTCCCCATGTCCATATAATGGTGGCCAATCTCTACCTGCTAGTGCCCCTGTGTTAAACCCCATTGTTTATGGGGTGAGAACCAAGAAGCTCTGGGACAGGGTGGTCCACCTCTTCCAGTGAAAGGGAACCTGACCCATATGTATGTGCTTCAAGCTGTGCTCATAATTTACTGATGATGCTGGTGAATTTAAGGAGAGTTAATGCTGTGACTATTTATTTGTTCAGGGAGGAACCCTTCCTCAATGCCTGGAGTTTAAGCAATGCATTCTTGCAGAAATCACTAGATTGTCTCTTCCATTATCACTGTCCAGAAGGTTTCATCCATTGTGTGATGAAACTTGGCATATCAATCTGGCTTCTACACCACTGGGAGATGGAGAGTTCACTCCTCCCAGAAGTTAAACTCCTCACTGCTAAAATTCTTTCACTATTAAAAAAAAATCCTCTCATGATTAAAATATTTACACTGTAAGGCTGAGTATCTCCAAAAGATCTTCCTGCAGCAGCTTTCATTATACGAACAGTGTTGCCTGGACTGTGTGATGGTATTTAAAAGACGTGTAGACGTGGTGCTTAGGGACATGGTTTAGTGGTGGGCTTGGCAGTGTTAGGTTTGCGGTTGGACTCGATGATCTTAAAGGTATTTTCCAACCTAAATGATTCTATGATTCTATGGGAAGCTGCTCAGATGGGAATGTCCTTGTAGAAGGGAATGGGTAGAATTAAATTTTAAGCATTAACCTTTTTTTTGCAAGGAAGGCAAAACCTACAATAATTCTATGCTAGCAAATTCCAAAAGTTCTGTGTAAATGTAAACCCTTTCAAAAATATCAGAAATCCTCGCTGATGCAATTATTTAGAGTAACCTATCACAGGGAGATCGTTGCTAACAGGATTGCACTATACTAATATAAGTCAACTATCCCAATAAACAGGCAAGCATGTTTTACAAAATCACTGCTCTGATTTGAGCAGTGTATCTGAAAAAGGTAGGCAGCAGAATGAGGTGAAGGTCAGATGACCCAAACTCACGTTATGAAACTCAAGCACATTACGGACCTTTGCTCTATTTTAGTGCAAACTGAAGAGCCCTTATGGATGGAGAGGAGATCTCTGACCTGGCCTGGCATTTCTTGGAGGTGTCTATCTTCCTGAGCAGCTCTGACTATCGTGGCCACCCACAAGGAGCTCTGCTATCTCTCCGTGAGCTGGATACCAGGGGGAAGCAGGAGGGGGGGGCCCAGGAAGGGAACATGCACTTCTGCTGAAGTGAAGCAGATGTTAGGCTGCAGACAAAATGGGATATGAATTTTTTTTTTGGCACCATTTCAGTAGAATACTTAAATTTCAACTCAGTTCATCCTTTTTCTTCAGATAAAACAAAAGTAGCTTTTCACGGACCACAGACGAGAGGCAGGGGAAGCCAAAGGAGGAGAGATATGACCACCGTTTGTCTAAGAGCCGGTCTCAGAGCACTCACTTCATAAAGCAGGGCTGCACCATTTCTTGTGGACTGATGCTCACCCGCCACCGCTCTGGTGAGGTAGAACCCCCATTTTTCTGCAGGCTCCACAAAAAATGTTCCTTTTTTCATTTTCATTAAGACCATGGGAGCTGCCCTCATGACCAATGTCCATCCATTCCACCATGCTGTCTCCTCCAGTGGCAATGGGAGAGGTCTTCTAAGAGATGCCTTTTTTTAAGCAAGAAATCACAGCAGGGGATCGTTGCTGGTCAGATAGGTGCAAAGGTGACTGGCTGACTCCTACAGCTCCTTGTGACCTATGAGATGTGTGCATACAAGCTATCACTGCCACATACTATCGGATACTCAGCACCAACAGTTCAGGCCTCTACTCTCGGATTCCCTGTAAATGAATAAAGCTGGCTGTGACATCTGGACCATTGCACAGTATGGATGGGGTGTTTGCTGGGGTGGGAGGCCGCCAGCAGTGCCCTCCAGTCAATGCTAACGCTGCATGTGAGCTGCCTGGAAAAAGTGGTGGGAAAGCCGAGGAGGTCTGTACCCAAACCAGGGACACAAGCACACTTTCACGGGGGAGGGGGTGTACAACTTTGGGGTGGTGCTTTGAAATCCAAAGGCAACAAATGGTCCCATTGCTGAAAATGGCCAAACCTGAACGTTTTGATGGGTAGCCCAGTCTTTTCAGGAGTTTCATCTCCTGACAATGGTGCCTGAGGCCACAGCTGACAGGAAAGGGAGATCTTGCCACCATTGCTCTCTCCTCTTGGTAGGTTCACATCTGTCCTCACCCCTACAGAGGGTCTCCCAGGAAAGTTTCCTCCTGTCTGGTGTCTCCTTGTTAAAGCCAGAAGCCAACACCACATTCAAGTCCTGCTTTGACTTCACACCTAGTTTCTAGTCCTATTTAGCTCCTGGTGCTAACCCAAGGCAATTCAACAGTAGCCTCCCACCTGACGCTGGGATTCACTCTTAATAGTGTGTTTGCATCATCTCCTTTGAGATAGCGGATCAACCAAAAAAAGAAGCAGAAGTATCCAGTGAGCCTGGGAGTCCTGGGGGATTTTGTGGAGTAGCAATATAAAGATGTGCTCACTGGCAGCCTGGAGGCAAGATGCTCAGGCAGCTCATATTTGGGTATTGCTCCATATTTAAGGCAAAGTGATCTGCTTTTTCTGGGCTGCTTTTCACATGTCAACTGTTAGATAATTTCAGATAACTTTGTCAGTGTTACTATAGTATTAGTGTTAAAGTGATTATTAGCTTTAAAGGAAGGATGCGCATGTAGAATCATAGAATCATAGAATCATAAAGGTTGGAAAAGACCTCTAAGATCATCGAGTCCAACTGTCAACCCAACACCACCATGCCCATTAAACCATGTCCCTAAGCACGTCATCCA